CTTCGACCTGTTTGTTTCCTCTCCACCTATCCTCTCCTCTATCCCTCTTCTATCCGCCTCCCACTCTCTCCCTATTTATTTCAAAACCCCCTTCCCCTCCCCCTTTTCTGATGAAGGGTCGAGGCCCGAAACGTCAGCCTCTCTGCTCCTATGATGCTGCTTGGCCTGCTGTGTTCATCCAGCCCTGCATCTTCCTACTCACCTATCCGCTCCACCCTTCCCGCTGACCAATCACAATAACCCCCTACCTGCCTCCACCTATCACCATCCCATCCCTTCCCTCAGCCCCCACCCCCCTCCCTCTATTTACTTCTGGGCTCCTCTTGTCAGACCTGCTGTGCTTTTCCAGCTTCACATCTATTGACTATGGCTTCCAGAATCTGCAGTTCTCACTGTCACCATGAGCTAAAGATAGTTATTTTCTATGCTTCTGTCACATACAGTTTGTTGAATCAATTTGCTTTGATCTTCTGGGGTCAACTCTAAGGATACAAGCTAATGAGTATCATATATTTATTTTGTAGCTATGACACCTCTATGGCTGATGTTTGCATATCTCTCTGTAAGCGGTGGAGCATAGTGAGTAAATTGTTCTGTTTAAGTGAAAACAAAACTATAAATGCTGGAAATACTCATCAGTCAGCCTTCAGTTATTATAGCATTAAAGCATTTGATTCCAATGATGGCTGAACATCCAAAAAATCAATGTCTTGTCATTGGCCTTCACAACCACTGGCTGAGCAGTCTATTTCATAAATTCTGGCATTAATGCTTCTGTGTACCCTGTTGCTAAACCTACTGCCATAATCTACCTCTGCCTGTGAAATTCTCATCTCATCACATTGTCAACTGCACAATTGCTGACATACATCTTACTGGAAATTGGCATTATTTTTTGATCCAAAGAAGCTTAAATGTAAGCTTAAGAGCAAAAATTGTACAAATTGAAAACCTATTGCTTTCATAATTCACCACCCACTGAGGGTTCTGTTTTCAATGACAAATAACATATTTTCTGTGATTGGACTTGCTAAACTACACACAATATTTAAGACAGTGTCTGATCTCCCATCATACTTCTAATTAGGAAAATGAGGTACTGTGTTGCCTTGCTTTCACTGCAGGCAAGAACTGGGTTGCTAGTTTGAAATTATATCTGAAATCTTCGATCTCTTTTCTACCTGCACACTGTGGCACTAATCAATTTAACAGATATACTGATAAGTGAAAACTTTTGTGTTTTTAAAAAATAAGTTTTGTATCCAATATTTTCTTTAAAGTAAAAAGGTTGAACATCTTTATGACTTTGATTTTTTTTAAAATAGTCTGCTTTCAACTTGTTTTACGTGCAACCGAACCTATTGCCTCAGTCACATTGCTTTTGCCTTATAATTTTAAATCTGTAAACTGTTATTTTATTGACCACTGTCTTGTTAGATTTGTTATCAGTTTTGATACTGTTTTGTAAATGTGAAGTTTGTTCTTTCAAAATAAAATGAATAGAAATTGAACAGAACCATTGTTTTCAGGCCACCGATGTTGAGTTGGACTGCTTTACTGAAACTGATCTAAAGGAAATGACATCACAGCAAAAGATTGAATTCCTTGCTCTTTTACTGTTGGAGGTAGGATCTGGGTTTGTGTGGGATAAAATGCAGGATGACAAGAAAATGACTACCTGGATTGACTCACTGAAGTGGAGATAAATGTTTACTCAGTTCTGAATCTTGTGAAGAATTATGTGTAATCTTTGTAAGGCTAAGTATGGATTTAGATTCAAGATAACAAGGTGTAAAGCTGGATGAACACAGCAGGCCAAGCAGCATCAGAGGAGCAGGAAAGCTGACGTTTCGGGTCTGGACCCTTCTTCAGAAACTTCAGACTGATTTTCCTAATTACTTGCTATACCTGCATACTAAGCATTTGTGATTCATTCATGAAGGCACCTAGGTCTCTCTGTATCTGTGCTCTGCAGTCTCTCAATTTTTAGATAATGTGCTTTTTTTTTTATTCTTCCTGTCAAACTGGACATTCACGTTTCCCCACATTATTCCCCAGTTGCTGCATTTTTGCCTACTCACTTAACCTGTCAATACCTTTTCATGGCTACCTCATGTCCTCTTTATAACTTACTTTCTTACCTACCATTGTATCATCAGCAAATTTGGCAACCATACCAAAGTATATATACATCATAAACAGTTGAGCTTCCAGTACCAATCTATGTGACACTAGCTATATCTTTCCAACCTGAAAGACCCATTTACACCTCTCTGATTTACTTTTGCCAGCCGATATTCTATCCATGTCAACACAATGTTTTTGTTTATTTTCTGCATCACCCTTTGGTGTTTCAACCTAACAAATGCCTTCTAGATATCTTAAGTACAGTAAATCCACTGATCTCTGTTGAACTTATTCAAATACATTGGTATAACTTCTTTAATACATCATAATGATTTCCCTGTGACAGATGTTAAGCTAACTAGCCCGTAGTTCACTCATAGTAAGAACTGCCAATACTGGAGTCAGAGGTAACACAGCGTGGAGCTGGAGGAACACAGCAGGCCAGGCAGCATCAGAGGAGGAGGAAAGTCGACATTTTAGGTCGGGAAGGGTCCCAACCCGAAACGTCAACTTTCCTACTCCTCTGATGCTGCCTGGCCTGCTGTGTTCCTCCAGCTCCACGCTGTGTTATCTCCTAGCCTGTAGTTTCCTGCTTTTAGAAAAAAAGGAATTGCATTAGCTATTTTCCAATCTAAATGAACTGTTGCTAAATCAAGGGAGTTTTGGCGAATTATAACAAATACGTCAAACATCTCATTAGACCCTTGTTTAAGAACCCTTCATTTAAACAGTTTGCCTTTTCCCCAAAACATCATTTAAATTCAGCACAGCATTTATAGTATCTTTGATTATAAATTGATTTTGTTCCTTGAGGGGTTATAAAGTGCTACATTCATGATATATTGATAAATGCTGTGCAGTGATTAGAATCTTTAGGCACATCATTAACACTTGCTATTAGACATCCTATTGCATAATTACTATTTAGGAGCAATTAGAAAAAATGAAATACATTATTTTAAGGTAACTGATTTTAAGAGGAATTTTTGTTTCGTAATTCTCCCACCAAAAAAAACGTGTGGACGTGCAAGAGTAAGAGTGTGATTTCCAACTGGCCCAGTAATTCAGTTAATGCTTACTAAATGTGCAGTGTTGTTAACCATTCCTGTAACCTCTTCCCTTTTGGTCTTTAGCCTCCACTGCGTCTCAACAATGTGAAACGAATGCAGGATCTTTATAAATTCAACGGTGTCAAAAATGCAGAGATAAGATTCAGGTACAATTTAGTGAAAGCTGTGAACTGGTAGAGTGTTGCTGACAGCTTGTGCCCATGCGGTATTAAGGAATAAACCAGAGGTTCAAACTATTCTAACTATTCATTTGAACCCTTGCTGAGAAGACTGTGGAGTTTACCCATGTTAGGTAGGGTAGGAAGGGTAGATCCACTTTCCCAGCTTCAAATAGCCTGCCAACCCTAGCTACAGAACCTTGCACATGAGGAGTGATCATATGAATGGGGTACTGGAGGGTTAATACTGCCTGGAGAAAAACACCCCAAATGAATGAGCACCTTCAAGAGAACTTGGTGGAGAGGAGAGTAGAGATGTCCTCAAACAATTATGGTTCTGTTATTTTGAAGAGGGAAAATAGAGATGATTTATAAATTAAGGACATCATATATGGAGTATAAAATCTAACCCCAGTAATTCAAAATGTTGTGCTTAAAATATGAATGATCCAATAATTTAAGTTAAAAGACTAACACAGCAAGATGTTTGTTAAGAGCTACTGAATTAAATTACATCAATAGCAATAGCAAATTACATCAATAGCAAAAATTAAGCACAGAGAGGTAGTTTGCTTCATTGTATTTGTGTTCAACAGCCCAAACTAATCCCATTGCACTGGAGTCTCCCCATCGCCCACTAGATTATACTGTGAACTATATCCCTTGATATTATTTAATCATTGTCTTTGAGTCTAATAGAAATTTAAATAAAACTACTTCAGTTTTTGTCTGTAAACTTTGAATTTGTTCCTTCCACTTAAGATGGCTGCGTTTGTGCCTCCGAGCTCAGTGGGAAAAGGCCATTCCACTCGCTTTGGAAATGGTCACTGTGCAGGGTAGAATGAAGTTCACTCGTCCTCTTTACAGGTAGGTTTTCAATTTAGCATTATATAGTTGCTGAGTCATGTTCATTATAGAGAACAGGCTGATCCTTGACTTTGTTATTTATTACCTTGAAGGAGAGGTGCAGGTTGGAAAGGCAAAGAAGTAAGCTAGAAGACCACTTAAACGTTTAAATATTAAAACCATAGCTGATTTAAATTCAGCAACACATTAATAAAAGTAGTTAAATCAAATAGTGTTGGTTGTTGAAGTTTAGCAATATTTTAAACCAACAACTTCTATTGTGCTTTCATGTGAGGGCAAATGACCATGAGGTATGGTCTAAAAGACAAATTTTAACCAGTATTTAGAATAAAGTGAGAGGCTGAGGGGAGAGGTTTAGAAGGATATTCCAGAACCTGGAGCTTGGACAGCTTTCTGGAGTTACTAAACTCCAGGATGATAAGAGAGACCAGAATTAGAGGACGTTACAGATCTCTGAGGTTTTGATTTAGAAGGACATGAAAACAAGGATAAGAGTTTAAAACCAAGATGTTACTTAATCAGTAGGTCAGTGACCACGGGTGATAAGACTGGTTGCAAGTTAGGATACAAGCAGCAGCGCTTTGGATAACCTCAAGTCTGTGGGAAGCTGGCCTGGACTGCATTTGAACAGACAGAACAAGATGTGCCAAAGACTTAAATGACCAAAATAAAACAAAAACTGCAGACTCTGGAAATCTAAACAAAAACTGAAATTGTTGGAGAAACTCGGCAGGTGTGGCAACATCCATGGAGAGAAAGCAGAGTTAACGTTTCGGGTTCACTGCCCCTTCTTCAGAACCCAGTTCTGGACTCAAGAATGATGACTGCTTTTTTTTCCACAGAGCTTCTCCACCAATTTCTGTTTTTGACTGAAATGATCACGATCAGTTATGTTATAAAAGGAAAAATATTTAACTCTGAAGTTTCACATTTTGATTTTCCACAATGTAAAGAACAAACTGAGTTACTGAGAAATGAAGCAATGACTTAAGAAAAATAACTTCAACAACTTTGTGTTGTGACTTTAACACATTAAAGAATTCCCAAAGCGCTCCACAGGAGCATTTTAACACAACATATGACACCAAGCCACGGGAGGAGATTAGTCAAATGCCTAAAAGCATGGTCAAAGAGCTAGGAGCTAAGGAGCGCTCTCAAGAAGGAAAGTGAGGTAGAGAGTAAAGAGGGTATTACAGAGCATTGGACCTGAAGGCAATTGAAGGTATGACCACCAAAGGTGAGAAGATCTATAAGCAAAATGCATAAAAGGAAATGAATGGTGGGAAGTAAGAGAGAGGGAAGTGTGAGGCCCTGGAGGATTTGATCTGCTAAAAGATAGCTTGCAAGATTGCATTAACTTTGACCAGTGTCTTAGCTGACTATTTAGCTGCGGGATGTTTACTCTGGGATGAGAAAGGGGAGTTCATCAATGCAGTCAAGCAAGTTGCACATGCTAATTTGTTGATGCCTGCTATATCACTCTTTTACACACAACACTGATTTTCTACAAATGGTTTGGGCAGCAGCTTTCCATACAATATGACATTCCTTGTGTGTGTATGTTATAATTATAAATACACTACAGAAAAGTTCCAACATCAAAATATAGATGTCTTATTTCATTATTATAATATTGTTTCAGTCGCTCATGGCTCCATGAATGTTGCTCATGTTTACCACCTCTCCTTAATCTTGCTATTGTAACTAAAAGTAGTCAGTACCGTGCAGCAATACATTAGGAGGAGAAAGGGGGTCACTTGTTTTCCCTTTTACATTATATAGGTTGCAAACATGAGCAAATATGTATGTGGAAACAAATGCTTTATTCCAAACATGTTATAAATACAGTAATGTTCCAATGTCTTGACAGTCTGTTAGTGTTATGCATATAATTACTGACTTTATGCTTGCTCTGAATGTTACAGAGATTTGTACAACTTCGAACAAGCACGAGAGCAAACAATTGAAACCTTTAAGAAGAACAAGCCCTGTATGCACCCAATCACAGCTGCATTGGTAGCTAAGGACCTTCACCTTGTTTAATAATTGACCATTACGGCAGTAGCACTCTCTTTTCAGATTTTGTTACAAAATAAAGAGCTTTGGTTAACATACTTTCTCTACAGATTATGAAAAAGCTATTTGTTGATGCCAATCATTTTTTCAGCTGTCTTCAGATGAAATAGAATTGTTCTAATAGAAATGTTAAATTTAGAAACTATTGCATTGTTCCATGGAATCAGTAAGTGCATTGTTTCAAATAAAATTTTTGATCTCTACTTGTCTGTTCTTTTGTCTTTTCTAAAGTCCAAAGGATGCAGGCTTGAATGGTGACAACTGACAAATTGTACAAAGCATTGTGAAGCCTGCTTTTATCTGTGCAATACATCTCACTTCCAGGATCATCCTAGGATGCAAAGATATCTGTGGCTTTTATGTACCATACAAACACTTAAATCTCTCTCCCTATCTCATTCATCTGGATCTCCAACAAGTACGGTCACTTTCCCTAACATGGGCCAAACTTTCTGTAAAGCTCTGTGTTGCCTTTGCTCTAAATTTATTTCCTTGTCTAGTTTCTCTCCTATTTTTCCTCATGCTCTTTCCACGGTCAATTGTGTACAACATTCTGATTCTGACCATCTAACTTCACCTCCTAGCTCACACGCTAGCTGATGTTAAGTTTTTTTTTCTTGCATGCTGATTTGCTGTTCTTCAGATCTGCTGTCACCACCCATCTGCTCAAAAAACCAAACTTCAGCCCCTCTATCCTTACTACTGTGCCACCTCTGACCTCTCTTTCCTCTCAAACCTTTTAATATGTTGCCTCTCAAATTCATGGCCCATTTTTCCTGATTTCCATATTTCAATACTTCCAATCTGAATTCTACCCTTCCCACAGTACTAAAACAGTTCCTGATGAAATCAAAAATGGCAGATGGTATGACTGACAAAACTGTCGCTCGTACTCGTTCTTGACTTTTTTCTAATCACTTGTGGGACATGGGCATCACTGGCTGGACCAGTATTTATTGCCTGTTCGTAGTTGCCCAGGAGAAGGTGATGGTGAGCTGCCTTCTTAAACCAACACAGTCCACATATTGTAGATTGACCTACAATGCCCTTGGGGAGGGAATTCCAGGATTTGATTCAGTGTCAGTGAAGGAAGGGCGATATATTTCCAAATCGGGATGGTGAGTGGCTTAGAGGGGAACTTGCATGGGTTGGTGTTCCTATTGTATCTGCTGATCTTTTCCTTCTGGATGAAAATGGTAGTGGGTATGAAAATTGCTGTCCACAATGAATTTCTGCAATGCAGTTTGTAGATAATACATTCTGCTGTTACAGAGCATTAGTGGTAGAGGGAGTGGATGTGGTGCCAATCAAGCAGGCTGCTTTGTCCTGGATGGTGTCAAGCTTCTTGAGTGTTGAATCTGCACCCATCCAGGCAAGTGGAAAATATTCCATCACACTCCTGACTTGTGCATTGTAGATGCTGGACAGGCTTTAGGAGTCAGGAGGTGAGTTACTCACTGCCGTATTCCTAGCCTCTGACCTGCTGTTGTAGCCATTATATTTATGTAATGAGTCCAGTTGAGTTTCTCATCAATGGTAACCCTAGGGATGTTAATTGTGGGGGATTCAGTGATGGCAACGCTATTAAATGTCAAGGGGTGGTGATTAGGTTCTCTTGTTGAAGATGGTCATTGCCTGGCTTTTGTGTGGTCCTAATGTTACTCACCAATTGTCAGCCCAAGCGTGGATATTGTCCAGATCTTGGTGCATTTGAACATGGATCGCTTCAGAATCTGAGGAGTTGTGAATGGGGCAGAATATTCTACAATCATTAGCAAAATTCCCTACTTCTGACCTTAAGATAGAGGGAAGGTCATTGATGAAGTAGCTGAAGATGATTGGGGCTAAGACAGTACCCTCAGGAACTCCTGCAGAGATGTCCTGGAGCTGAGATGACTGACTTCCAACAACAACAACCATCTTCCTACCTGTCAGGTATGACTCTAACCAGCAGAGATTTTGTCCCCTGGTATCCATTGATTCCAGATTTGGCAACTTGATGCCTCATTCGGTTAAATATAACCTTGATGTCAAAGGCTGTCACTCTCACCTCACCTCTGGAAATCAGCTGTTTTGCCCATATTTGAACCAAGGCTGTAATGAAGTCAGGAGCTGAGTGGCCCTGGTGGAACCCAAACTGGGCACCACTGAGCTAGATATTGCTGAGAAGGTGCTGCTTGATAGCACTGTTGATGACACCTTCTATCACTTTACTGATGATCGAGAGTCGAATGATGGGGCGGTAATTGGCCAGGTTGGATTTGTCCTGCTTTTTGTGTACAGGACAGACCTGGACATTTATGCACATTGTCAGGCTAGATGCCGGTGTTGTAACTACAGGAACAGCTTGGCTAGGGGAGCAGCAAGTTCTGAAGTACAAGTCTTTCGTTCTATTGCCAGACTTTTGTCAGGGCCCATAGCCTTTGCGGTATTCAGTGCTTCCAGTTTCTTGGTATCACCTAGAGTGAATCAAATTGGCTGAAGACTGGTATTGGTGTTGCTGGGAACCACTGGAGGAGGCCGAGATGGATCATCCACTTGGCATTTTTGGCTGAAGACTGCAGCGAATGCTTCAGCGTTATCTTTTATACTTATAGAACATAGAACAGCACAACACAGCAATGGGCCCTTTGGCCGACAACGTTGTGCCAAACATGATGCCAAATGAAACTAATCCCTTTGCCTGCCATTGGACCATATCTCTCCATTCCTTGCAAATTCATGTGCTTATCTAAAAGTCCCTAAACGCCCCTATCGTATCTGCCTCAACCACTACCCCTGGCAGTGCGTTCCAGGCTCCTGCCATACTCTATGTAAACAAAAAAAAAAAAAAAAACTTGCCCTTCACGTCTTCTATGAACTTGGCCCCTCTCACCTTAAATACATGCCCCTGGTATTAGACATTTCAACTCTGGGGAGAAAGATTCTGACCGTCAACCCTATTTATGTTTCTCATAATTTTATAGACTCCTGTCAAGTCTCCCCTCAGCCTCTGCCACTCAAGAGAAAATAGCCCAAGTTTTTCTAGCCTCTCCTTATAGCTCATACACTCTAATCCAGGCAGCATCCTGGTAAATCTCTTCTGCACCCTCAAGTCTCCACATCCTTCCTGTAATGTGGCGAACAGAATTGAACACAATACTCTTAAGTGTGGCCTAACCAAAGTCTTACAAAGCTGCAACATGACATGCTGACTGTTGTACCAATTCCCCGACCAACAAAGGTAAGCATGCCATAAGCTTTCTTTAACACTCTATCTACTTGTGTGGACACTTTCAGGGAGATATAGACTTGGACCCGAGATCCTTCTGTACGTGAATGCTGTTCACAGTCCTGCCATTAAGTATATACTTTTCCTTAACGTTTGATCTCCCAAATTGCAGCACCTCACACTTAACCTGGATTAAACTCCATTTCTCCATCCATATCTGCAACTGATCTATATCCCAATGTATCCTTTGACAACCTTCTACACTATCCACAACTCCACCAACCTTTGTATTGTCTGCAAACTTACTAACCCACCCATCCAAGTCATTTACATACATCACAAACAGCAAAGATCCAGTACTGATCCCTGTAGAACACCACTAGTCACAGACAGCCAGCCTGAAAAACACCCTTCCACCACCACTCTGTCTTCTATGCGCAAGCCAATTCTGAATCCATGCAGCCAGGTCACTGTGGATCCCATAGATCTTAATCTTCTGGATGAGACTACCATGAGGAACCTTGTTGAAAGCCTTACTAAAATCCATGTAGACAACATCCACTGCTCTATCCTCATTGATTACCTTCATCACTTCTTCAAAAAATTCAATCAAGTTAGTAAGACATGATCTGCTCTGCACAAAGCCATGCTGACTGTCCCTAATTTGGCCATGCTTTTCCAAACGTGTAAATCCTATCCCTAAGTTTCTTGCGAAGTTCGGTAGCTCGGGTTGTGGATGAGGTTGTTGGCTTGCTCGCTGAGCTGACTGGTTATCTTATTGACGTTTCATTACCATGCTAGGTAACATCATCAGTGCAGCCTCCAATGAAGTGATGTTGTTCTACTCAGCTTGGTATTTATATGATCTGGTCTGTTAAGTTTGGTTGTGTCATTTTTGGTTCTTTTCTGCATGAGTTTGTATATGGGGTCTAATTCCACATGTTTGTTGATTACATTAAGGGTTGAAAACCAGGCCTCTAGGAATTCCCATGCGTGTCTGTGTTTGGCTTGACCTGGGATAGTCACATTGTCCCAGTTAAATTGATGCCCTTGATTGCCCATTACTTTGGCCAAATTACTGGATGCAGCAGTAAACCTGATTCCAAACAGTTCCATCAGCAAGGACAACATACATAGACTGCTAGACCTATGCCTCACCACACCCTTCATCACACAGCCAAATATACAAACAAATCAATGGCACACCTATGGGATCACCCATCTCAGGACTTTTTGCAAAGGCAGTCTGTAAAGACTGGAACGCACTTCCCTTCCCCTCATACAGCCAAAACTGTGGATCTGATGCATGGACAACACGTTTGTTGTCATTAAGTTAGAAGAAACACCATCTTATCAATAACGTTTTCACCAGGATCAAGTTTATGAGAGAAGAAGAAGACAACAATCAATTTCTGTTCCTCGATGTCAGGGTAGAATGAATGACCAACGGGGAGTTCCAAACCACAGGAAGGCAACCCATGCTGACCAAATCCTCAATTTCCACAACAATCGCCCCAACGTCCACAAATAAAGCTGTGTTAGGACACTATTCAAATGGGCCACAACACACTGCAACATGACAGAACTATGCAAGACGGGGGAAGAACACCCATACAAGGTCTTTGCTAACAATGGATATCTCAATGACTTCATCCGCAGGTGCCTGCTAGATAGACAATGCCAAGAGGACACAATACGTCCCAACACACTGGCCACACTGCCCTATATCAAAAACTTATCAGAACTGACAATGAGACTCCTACAACCACTAGAAATCATGGTGGCACACAAACCCACAGCCACACTACGACAAACACTCACAACGACCAGAGACCCCATACCCATGACATGCAGGACCAACATAGTTTACAAAATACCTTGCAATGACTACATAAACATTACATTGGCCAGACTGGAAGGAAACTGGCCATCAGGATTCACTAACACCAGCTAGCAGCAAAACAACAGGACAAACTTTCCTTCATCTCAGTG